ATTTAATTTCTGGTTTTCATGGTATTTTGTGTCTCGTTTTGTCGCTTTATGTGTTTTTGGAACAGTTTTGTCTCTTCGTGGTCATTTTGATTCTTGTTTTTCTTGTTTTATGTCATTTTGTGCCTCGTTTTGGTTGTTTTGTTCATCTTAGGGACAATTTTGTTGTTGTTGTTTTTTTGTTTTTTTCAACTTTGTCAGTCGTTTTGTCTGGATTTTGTCATTTTCTTTTGTCTCCCTTCCGTCATTTTGCGTTTTTTTGGTGTGTTTTGTGTCATTCTCGCCTTGTTTTGGTCACTTTATGGGTCTTTTAAGGAAGTTTTATCTAATTGTGGTCATTTCTTTTCTCCCTTCTGTCATATTGTGTCTCATTTTTCTTGTCTTATTTCATTTTGTGCCTCGTTATGGACAATTTTGTTGTTTTTTTTAAACTCTGTGGATCATGTTGTCTAGTTTTTGTTAACTTTTCTCCTCCCTCTGTCATTTGGTTTCTTGTTTTTGTGCGAGTCTGTGTCTCGTTTTGATCATTTTATGGGTCTTTTAGGGAGTTTTGTCTCCTCGTGGTCATTTTTTTTCCCCTTCTGTCTCATTCTTCATGTTTTCTGTCGTGCTGTTTGCTTCGTGCTCGAGGAAAGTTGGTTATTTTTCTCTCAACTTCACAACAGTGACTCTTCTGAGGAGCTTCCAGCTCAGCGACACCTGCAGCTTAAAGTCTAAATGCAGAAATATGCCGCTGAGCTTCAGTATTCAGAGCAGAGTCCTGGTTTACGTACAGATGTACGTTTCCTCTCCGTGTCTCTGCAGCGACGCTAAGATGTGACGGATTCGTTTGTGAAGGTTCATTAAGCCGACCTTGCCGTGACCTTGACGGCGGCGGCGGCGACGTGCAGCATCTTCTTGCTCACGCCGTCTTTCATGTCGTTTCTTTTCAGGTAATTCAGCCGTAATCCTCTCGGTTTGCGTGGCGGCGGGTCAAGGAGCTGCGCGGCGCCGTTGTGTGCGATTGCATCTCCAGCAGGGTCACCTTGCTGCTGCTGCTGCTGCTGCATGAAGGAAGAAAAAAAACCCTCTGATGTTCTTTTCCACCATTTTTGTTTTCTTCCGAAAGGACGTCGAGGGGAAGCTGATGAGGATAATCTACATGCTGGAGAGAGAGAGAGCGAGAGAGAAGAGGGGAAAGACGGCGAGGCGAAACTTTGAGATGGGAGGCGATGATGCAAGTCGGAGGCAAGACGCCTAATACCGCCCGCTAACGATCCAGCAACTGGAATGCAAACCCTGGGCGAGCTCAGGTGGGGAGCTTCTGCAGGGGGAGTTTCTCTTTCTTTCTTTCTTTTTTTTTTTTCTGGGGGATGTCAGAGTGTCAGTCGGCTGCGAGGCCTCCGACGCTGTTGTCGCTTCCACATCCTGCAGTAGAGAGGCGGCGAGCGGCGGTGACGGAGGGAGCCTGAACACGGCACCGGGCCGCCGCTCTGGGAAACACGGGCCCAGAATCAGAACACACATGTACAGATGTCAGCTTTAACTGCTCGTCTCTGCAGTTTATACCCAGAAACATGTAGTTCCTTCAGTTCTGTGTGATGGTCGCTGCAGGTGAAGATGCATTTTAAAAATACGATTTTATGCCCATTTTCTATGAATAAACGACTGTTTGTGAATATAAATCTACATACCAGCCTTTTTAATAAGACAATGGGAGCACTGTTTTTTCTTTAAGTCTGTTTGCAGGATTACAGTTTGATGTTGAAAACTCACTAAAATGTAAAAGCAGCTCTATAACTGTGCATTTCCTGGAGCAGTGACTTTTTAATGTTATTCTCTCTTTGAGTTTAACAGGATTAAAGCTCGTAAAGGTGGAATCAGCTGCTTAAATAAACGCGTTTCATCCTCAGACAAAATAATCTTCCTGCACAACTTCATTTCTTTTTCTAAAACGAAGTTATTATTGTTTAGGTTGAAAGAGCCTCAAAATCTGAATCAGTTTTTACTTTCAGGTTTCAATCAAGTTTAAGCAACAAACGACTTGATTAACTTTCAGAAATCTTCACTTTCTGGTCGACATTCTCACAACTTTCTCAACTTTTCTGCAGCTCAGCTAAGTTTGGGCACCAAAACGATGCAGCTCTGTTTAGAGTTTGGGTTAAATATGAGCTTTCATGATAATCTGAGACTTCCTGGGTTCTGACACATGATTGGTCGACTGAAGCGGCGCCTCATGAGCAGCATAACGTGTCGATTTTAACTGTGTTTGTGATACATCACAAGAAAAACGCACTCCGACAGAAGATGCACGTCTCAGAAATGTAA